CCAGTCTCTTTGCTATTCTCACCATTCTTCTCTGGCTATGCTTTTGTCATCTCTTGAGGTCTGGTGCCCATGACTGAACAGAGGCAGCAGCTATAGGCTGACTGGTGCAGAGCAGCACAGATGGTCACTTCCTCCCCACAGGTCATGGTTACGGTGAATATGGTCCTTCTGCAGCAATTCATAACCCATGACGAATTTTCATTTTCTCTAAAACCCTATAGCTTACTCTCTCACATCCTACATGTGTACTGTTACATTTTGGAATTCAAATAAGGGAATTTACCAGCATTGTGAAATTTGTAAATCTGACCTGGTGACATTAAAACAGAATCCTTTTGTGTGTAGCCAGTCACTTAACCAGTTAAGTCTGCCTAAGTTTCTCTTTATCCACCCCAAATTTTCTCCTTATTGTCCCAAGAGTAATAAGAGAATGTTTTGTCAAACTACAAATACTGTGGGTGTAACATTTCCCTCATCTACCAATCCATTCTCCCTATCAAAGGAAATGAGCTGAGCTGGGAATAAGTGATTTGTTTTTCCTGAATCCCTGCAGGGGCTAAGCAGTTTTCACTTCCTCTTGTAAGTGCTCACAAATAACCCTTCTAATCATTTATCCAAGAATCTTGCCCTCGATCAATATCACATTTATTGATCCATAATTTGTGGGATTCACCTTTTCACATCTGTTAAAGAGCGGGACCGTGTTTGTCAATCTCCAGGCTGCAGCACACATAATTTTCCATTCTCTGTGTTGTTTTTGAAGCCACCACCAGTTGTCCTGCAACTGAACTTCAAGTCCTCACAAGTGTTCTGGGCTGTTACTGACCAGACCATGAAATGGAGTCTCTAGGTGCAGCTGAAGTCCTTCTGGGACAAGACTGTCTTTAGGAGCATAGAGAAGTAGGAAAAGCAGAGCTGAGGAGGTTTTGTTTTCTCACTGTAAAACTATTAGCAGGCATCATTCTTTCAACAATACCCAAGCCCTTCGGAGGTTATGAAGACCTGCACAGACCACCTTGCCAATATGATTTCCCACTTCAACCGTCTCCTTTGGTCAGGCCAGTCCCCTCACTGCCCCTCAAGCATGCCTAGACCTCATGCTTTGGCAAAGGTTCTCAGTCTGGAACTCCCAGTCTGCCCACTACTCCACTCACACACCCACCCACAGCTATAGCCTTTCTTACAATTTCTCTAGTCCTTTTAACCTTTACTGTACATCAAAGTTGCATACTAGATTATACATTTCATTCAGTTTATCATGGTTCAGTTTTGTCTTTCTGACAATATGTACCTCAAAGTGGGTGTGTTCCATTCTACATAGTATAATTAAACCAGCAAAGGCCAGGCCTCCTGGCCTGGTAACCATACTTCTGTGAAGGGTTCCTCAGTGACCAACTTCTAGCCTTCATACACACTCACACACACACACACACACACACACACACACACGCACACACACACACCACAAATTCAGGTTCCAAGGTAGCTATGTCTGGTTTACTAAAGGACTAAAGTGGAAAACATAAACTGAGGGATGTGGGCTAGACCTAATCTAGGCACTAGTGACCTTTGCAATGTGGGATAAAATCCAAATACATCCTCAGCTTCTCTTCAAATAAAGAGCTGGGCTATTTTAGCTGGGCTCAGGGCTGGTAGTTAGCATTGGGGCCAAGAACCTCAAGCTATAGGTGCAAAATTAGATTGAAATCTTGATTTTGGAGGTTGTCTCTTCCATCCTGGCCTTCCAAAGGTGTGAAGAATGACCCATACTATTACTGATTGGTCCCCAATAGGTCTGTAATTTGAGCTGGGTTTGCTCTGGAACCTTGAGTTTTAAGAATAGAGACTAAGCCATGTATGGTGATGCACGCCTGTAATCTCAGCACTTGGGAGGCTGAGGCAGGAGGATTGCTGCAAGTTTGAGGTCAGCCTGGGCTACAAAGTGAGTTCAAGACCAATCTAAACTACATTGTGAGACTTTGTCTGAAAAACAAAGAATAAAAACAAAAAAAAGGAGACTAAATATCCCCAAAATAGGGAGACTCTTTTTTTGGTGTTTTTTTTTTTTTTTTGGTACTGAGGATTGAACTCAGGATTTTGCACTTTCGAGGCAAGCTGCAGCACCACTGAGCTAAATCCCCACCCAGGAGACTCTTGATTTGGCGATATACATACTCATCCCAGAATGGGAGGCCCAGATTGGAAAGAGCTGCAATGGAGAAATCAAACATTAGAACAGAGGAATAAGACTCTGAACTGACTTCAAAGGGGGTGTAATCTGACCCTCTGCTTTCAGGAAAATGAAGGGTACTGGTGCTTTCCTTAGTAGCCATTCGTTCCACTTGGCAACTGTTATTAAGGACCTACTACCTGCTCATGCTCATTCCTGTCAATAGCAAAATCCATCCCTGGGTTTCACTTAATCTCATTTCCCCCCATCACTCTCACAAGAAATGGAGAACTTAGGGCATGAGAGAACTCAACTCTGTCATGATTTAGGAGTCGCATTTTGAAGATGGCATACTTGTCACATAGTAGGTGCACCACAACCTTTGAATGCTACCTCATCAGCTTCCTTTTTTCTAAATTAAAAAAGAAAACCCCAACAACCATTGACACATTGGTTTTGCTCTTCACATCCTCTCCACTTTTCCACGTGTGTTAAAGATGTGTGGTGCTCATATCCAAGTCATAACCAGTGGCAGGTAGAGTGGAACACGCTGGATAGGGCTGTGGGGTGGACCACACATTATGAGGCTGAATTCTAGGGCTGTTTCTAAACACTAACTGGAATGGGCCCATTTCTCCGACTTTGCAGCAAGTGGGTTGGATTAGATGACTCTGGGGTTACTTCTAGTTCAGACACTTATATTCTGATTACTGCTCAACTCCTTTCACTATATTTTTGTTACTATACACTAGTATCCATATTAGTTTTGGAAAGAAGAAAAGAAAGAATGGAGGGAGGGATGGAAGAGGGAGGAAACCTGTTCTAAAACTGTGGACTCATTCAACTTCTACACCCAGTTTTTCTTTATTTGACTATGTGTCAAGTCGATCACTGCCCATTTGTGTTCTCCCATGTGCCATATTAGTATACTAGTTCTGAGTTTTGGTCTTTGTACTTACTACCACGTGTTCGTCCCCTCTGAACATTGTCCTGGTTGTGACGATTCATCTCCCTCATTTTGTCAGGATCACTTTGAAGAATTTTATCCCTGGTTTCTGAGGTAGCAGCGACCCTGCCCAACTGTCATACTTGAGCAGGCACCCTGTGCAGTCCTTAGAGACACTGAGAATAGCAGGAAATTCTGTAATGCTAACTCTGGGGGAGCCCCACTGCGTCTGTCCCCCAGAGTTGTCAGGGAGCCACAGATCACAGTCCTGGATAGAAACCACTCCCAGGGCCCCCTTGACTTCTCCAGTTTGAATTGACAGAACAGGAACCAGGTGTCCCTGGGGAAGAAGAGAGGCCCGCTCTATCTGTCACCTAAGGCCAGGGACCCACATGCTAATGCTGCACTGGATTTAGATATGAGAAAGAACCTCAGCATGTTAGAGGTCACGCCTCCTTCCAACCCCCATTCCCAGATGAGAGCAGGGTGGTGGTGATGGTGGTGGTGGCAGCAGAGAAAGGTGGGGGAGGAGGCAGTAGCAGTGGCAGTAGGAGAGAAAGGAAGTATTATTTTTCTTGTTTCATTAGGGGGCCAGAGGTGCTGAGAGGAGGCTTCAGCTGTGGGAGGCGAGAGCGCTGGGAGGGAGGGCAGGGGGATAGGGATAGCAACCTGATTGGTGAAGCCTTGCCAGGGGCGGACTGAGTGCAGCCCAGGAGTGGGGGCACAGAAGCTGCCTGATTGCTGGATTCATACCCCACAGAGGTGCCAGCTTTGAGGGCTGTTGGGGCAAGGCCTGTGCAAGTGAGGCAGGTTGGGAGTGCTAACTGGATTTTTTATTTTTATATCAAGACACTGTGTTTAAAATTTTTACAAAGGACAAACTCCATGGGTTTCCGTTAGTGTTTTAAGAACTTTTCTTAGAAAAAAAAGCCAACATCAACAACAAACAAACAAACAAACAAAAACACACTGCCTTTTTGAAAGAGAAATGACAGACACAAAAGAGGCTATAAAGAAAATGGGGTGAATATCTGATAGCATTTCCCTAAGCGCAGAGGCAGAACCCGGGTTATATACCTGGGGACCCAATAATGGCATGGCCTCTACAGTATCTTGCACACCAAAATTAGGGTCCCCTGGTCTAGCCAGGCTAATGCGGCTGGCCTGTGAGGGAAGCAGGTCATCCTGCAGGCTCTGCAGCCCTCCACAGGGACACAGAAAAGGTTGGAGATGTCTTCTCAGCGGCCCTCCAGCCCCATCCATCTTTAGCCTCTTCCTCTGTTCACCCCATAGTCTTGTGTGAATCCATTTCTTTCATAGGGATTCATCCCTTGGTCTGATTATGTGAGCACTGGGGGTGCCAGAGCCAGAGAGAACTGGGCCTGGAGCCCTCTCTTCCAGAGCTTCCTAGCACTCATGGGTTGCAAAAGCATTTATTCCAAAATTTAAAAAAAAAAATCAACAAAAACAAGACCCAGAAAAAAGGCTAAGTCTGGGGAGGAAGAGCTACTTTGCTCCTTAAAGCTCCCAAGTCTGGAGTTGGTCGGTGGTGGAGTTCCAAGAAAGGCCGAAGGCGAGCACCAAGGGGGTGTACAAGTCTTGCTTTCAGGCCCCCAGGAGTGTCTGTGTTCAGGCTCAGGGGAGCTGGCTTCAGCTGCTATTCCACAGGTCCTCAGTTTGTCAAGGACTCATCTGCGTTCCCATCTGAAGGGTTTGTTCAGGTTTACCTTCGTATCGGTGTTTTTGTACATGCAGGTGCATGTCCACATCTGTCTATGCTTGTGCAGATGGGTCTGCAGGGTGTAGGTGAGTGCGCATACATATATATATATAGATATATATACAGATAT